TAAATAACTTTTCAAAGCAGGTCTTGCATCAGCCTTAGAAGAGAAAGATGTAGAAAGTGACTGCCAACTTCCAGCTTTGGCTGACATTTTTGATTCTCATGGCTTGCCTTTCTTTATCACCCCTTGACTTTGTGGATGGAATTACTCATACAGCTAGTGTATGGTGATTTATGTCCAAGCACAGTTTGCCTTAAATAACTTGGCAATAGCATTACTTTAACAATATGCCTCATGAAATGAAAAAATCATTTCCCCATCTGCCATCTCAAATCAAAAGCTCCAGTCCAGATAATTGAAGGAGAGAAATCTGGACAAACTATCCTGGATGCTGAGAATGGGACAATAGCTTTTTTCCCCAAGTGCCGGTGGATTAGGTAGAACTATAGTTAAGACTAGACATTAATATCCAGTAAAAATAAATAATGTGTTTGGAATAAATGATAAAACTTGAGTTTGTTTCTAAACAGATGGGTAGTAAATTCACAAGTTTGGAAAGTAGTTTATCTTGAATGCATGAAAACATTAAGGTTATTAAAGTTCAAGCTCTCAGGTTTCGAATACGGAAGCACTGAAAAATATATATATATTTCTCCCGAAACCAGAATTATGACCTTAGAAGAAAAGGAACTAATTCATGATAAACTTGTTGCAAATTTACAAACTGAGCTATTTCAAGTACATCACCAAGTCATCAGAAATAATTTAAAAATTTAAAAGCTTAGAAAAAGGGCAAAGGCAGATCCCTCTAGCAGTTCATATGGCATATACAGTAGTTATGCAGATAAAAGCTTTAGTCTGGCAATAGGTGAGCAGCAGTAAAGAAACTACTCTGAAGTAACTCTTCATTCTTGGATCCTTGGGCCTGACATTAACCTACCTTTGGATGCTGAACAGCAAAAGCCTTTGTTAATTTACGGTACATGGATTCAGGAAAACTCATTGCCATTGGTTTTTAAAGTTGAGATAATGGATGTCTATAGATTATGACCAAGAGGATTATTCTGGGAGGCCCATGTTTATGGAGATTCTCAGTCATCCAGGTCATGGTTGTCCCAAAGGTGCTTTTTCAAAAGGCAACTGGACTAGCTTTGTTTTTTTCCCTATAGACATTTTGCTTCTCATCCAAGAAGTTTCTTCAGTTCTTCTGTTAGTATTGAAGAAGCTTCTTGGATGAGAAGCAAAACGTCTTCAAGGAAAAATAAAGAAAGTCCAGCTGCCTTTTGGAAAAGCACCTTTGGGACTTGAAGCTCCTTGTTTCTCAGTCTACCAAGTCCTTTGCTCCAGGTCTTTTAATTTTCTATCTGGTTCTTGAACTTTGGCTACTTCTATTAAGCAGTCTCAGATGGTTAAGGACATGGTGGTACTTCATACTGAATATAAATTGTCCTTACACACTGACAGTGTTATAGCATTCAATACAAATATGTCATGTCATCACCAGAGCTAACTAAAGTTGTACAGCAATTTGGTTTATGCTCTGATTATACAATTAGTTAGAATAAGTCTAATTTGCTGTCTTTAGATATTTATAGACTACTGCATGAAATTAGGATTTACAATTTGTACAGACTCTATAAATTATCTTGTCTTATATAGCTGTATTACAATATGTTGGATTTAAAATGTCTAAATCTATAGATGCAATTTAAGCAGATATAACCCAATAGTTAAAACTTCTGCTAAGTTATTGGAGTAAGATTAATGTTATTATAATGAATATTACTGCAAAATTAATGCATACTACAGGATGAATTCCAATGTTTGGCCCCATTGGATATTTTACTGAGAAAGGTAAGTGTATAAGAAAATTTACCTGGCTGGCTAAATTTGATCAATCTGAGCTTATCTTATGATGAAGCAACTTTATCCTTCCAGAATTTAACTGTATCATTGGGCTTTTATTTTAATATTAATATTCTTTTGGAATGAGAAGTTTGATGAATATTCCCTTCTTTGGGCCTACTTGGAGAATAAGTGTAGAACATCTCTGATGTACATCAAGCTTTTTTTCCTCCCTGTACAATAACTATATTGTTTGTTATTATTTTATTATTCCTTGGGTTGTACTTTTGTTTTATTTAATAAAAAAAGCAATTTCCAAATATAATTAATGTGTAGAGGGACTGACATAATGTGGCTGTTGAGAAACCACAGGATAAAGGACCAGCTGATGAACCACATGGCAATATTAAAATTTTTGAATTGTCTCCAAACCAAATAGCAGCCATAAAAGATATCAACGTGATATTCAGTAAGTTTCTCTAAAAATATATGGAGCATTGGAAATCCAAATTACTACTTACTCAACTGAAACATGAGAGAGTTTTTAAAATTTACACATTATCCCTCTTCCTAATGTTTAAAGTCTGCAACTTTTTTGCTTTGTACCTACTTTTCCAAAACATGGACTATGATGATCTGGAATAAGTTGGACTGATTTAAGATAATTTCTGAAATGATAAACAAAAAATAGTAGTATTGTAAATATGTAGCAGACCCTTCAGCCCCCCACCTCAACTAATGTTTTCTCCTCCATTTTCCCACACCCATAAATTAAGGCAGATCAAAACCATCTTTTATATCTTTTTCCCCTTTTGAAAACAGATTCCAGTTATATCAGCAAAATTCATTAAAGCCTCTCCTTTAGACAAGTAAGAAATGTTCATTTCTTAAGACATTTACAAATACAGCAAGCTTTTATGTCAGAACACTGAACTTTATTTAAAATGGTCAACATCAACACATTCTGTAACAACTGTTACAGGAGAGACAAGTTGGTGCAGAGGGACCCGTGCTTGGATAATAATTGCATCAACTGGCCTTTAAGGCAGATTTGTCTTAAGGGCCATGTTTTATTTCATCTAAAATGGCTTTATATGTTTTATTTCATATAAACTAGATTAACTTTCTTAGCTTCCCACAAAACACCCTGAGCATATGATCAGGTGGGGAATCTGAAGATTTAGAGGTCTCAAACTCTCATGTGCATGTCTTCCTAGGATTTAATAAACAGTGATAGTTAAACCTTGTACAGGTAGTCCTCGACTTGCAACAATTCATTTAGTGACCATTCAAAGTTACAACAGCACTGAAAAAATGACTTATGACCATTTTTCACACTTATGATCATTGCAGCATCCTCATGGTCACATGATTTACTTTTGGATGCTTGACAACTGATTCATATTTATGACGGTTGCAATGTCCTGGGGTCATGTGACCATCTTTTCCAACCTCCTGACAAGAAAAGTCAAAAGTCAGATTCACCAAACCACTGTGTTACTAATTTAACAACTGCAGTGATTCACTTAACAACTGTGGCAAGAAAAGTTGTAAAATGGGACTTAAAAAAATTCTCACTCAGCAACATAAATTCTAGGCTCAATTGTGGTCGTAAGTTGAGGACTGCTTGTAAAACCAGGAGCACAAATATAGATACCTTTGAGGGGATGACACTGAGGAATAGAATGGAGGTATAGCACTTATGTCATGGCATACATGTATGTAAGTTGGGCCTGTGACACGTTTGGTCCACACTTGGACAAAATCCACCATGCACATTTTATGATCAGATGATACACTTCAGTATCCTCACCCAGATTTATTTTCCAATTGTCTACTTGCAACCCATAAATAGGCCATTTATTGAGCCTATGTTAATTAGTCTCCATTTACTAATTGGTGTTTTATCAAAAGCAGTAATGTTTTAAATATTCCTTGGTTTAAAATGACTACCTGATGGTGTTTTTAGCTTTCTGTTGACATTTAAACTTGAGCGAATTTTCCATGAGAAAACTTTTGAAGTTTCTGCACCTGGGGGGGGGGGCAGCAGATCAAAGAAGCCAAAATGGGGATTGCAACTTATCAAAGCCCTGCCTTTTTTAAAAAACAAAACAAAACACACAAGGCATTTTAAAAAGGAGGGGGCTAGGAATATGGCTTTCACCTTGATTTTTTTGGACCCTTTTTTCCATGAACCTTCCCTGGAACCCTTAAGGAAATTTGAATAAGCAACTGCATTAAAATGCACATATTAACATGCTGAATATATCTTATCTTGTGAATTAACCATAGCCCTACATTTTCAAAAACATTTCTGTCACTTGGCCCTTTTGGTAATGGCTAAATGTTTATTTCCATTTCAGATTTGGAAATGTGTTCCTTCAAAATTTATGCAATATAAATCTAATGTGTGACTACAATTCTCATTCAGTCCCTCAACAAAAGAAAGAAGAGAATTTAAAGCAAGTCAACAACTGAAGAGAAAAAAAAAAGAAGTGGACCAAAACTATAGAACTGAACTAAAGCTGTATTCTTAGCTCATTTGCCTTCCTGGAAAGAAACAAATGTTTATAAGTTACGCTGATGACAATTTATTCCATTTGCTTGGCAGTGTTAGAAATTACTGTGCTATCTCTCACTGAAATATTATAAAATTGTCCTGGTGGTGATTTCCACTAGCTCCTATGGGGCTTTCATTGATGTTGTTTTGACACACATAGAAAAGTATCACTCTGGGATGATGCCTTTGTCAAAACTGACCCCTTGCTCCTTACTCCCCAGTGGAGACTGCTGGATCTGAGGACAATTTACAGAAGGATCTTTGTTCAAGTCAAAGGACTGATGGAACAAAGTTGGACGTTCCTCAGAGGAAGTCAAAGAGCTGATCATCTGCCATTACTCCTATAGGCCAAACTACTTATTGCTAATGTTATTTGCTTTATGAAACAAATAAAAAGGGGCCTATTTATGCACAGCTAGCATTTGTCCTTCTAAGGAAAACAAAACAGGGAAAAGAAAAAAGAAAAATGTCACTGGATTGGCAGGATTACATTTAATACTGTATACCAAGTTCATAAACTTCCTTTACAAAATTCCCTTGCAAAGTAGATAAGGAACATTTCATTCGCCCTACAGGTTTTCTTCAATGCCTGGATTTGCAGCAATTTCCATTGATTCACAGCCCCTTGTCCATATATGATGGCCCCATCAGCATTCAATCATAAGTCGTGGCTCTTCCTTCTTGAATAATCAGAGTTCCTCCTGTTTTGTTAAAAAAAAATCACAAACATTCAGACTCTACATAAGTTCAACTGTTCAACTATCCACTAAAATGGTGGATTTCCCCCTTACATATTTTCAATTCAGGGTGACTGAACCTTGCATGATGCCCAGCAAGATTCCCATGCCAAATGAAATCAGGTGTGCTGCTGACATGGATCTCTATAGAGGAGGCCAGAGGAAAGAAATAACATTACATACTTAGATCACAAATAATTGCATAACTACATCATTTGCATGATTACATCACAATGTAAGTGTCAACATTTGTTGTTGTCTTGGCTTCTTCTGGATGACGCTAATAGTGGATCATGACTCCATTTCCCCATTCAGAGGGCAACTGTGTTTTACTGTCAAGGCCTGTGAGTACGGCAAACTAAAGAAATAATAACTGGATTTCTGTAAAGATCTTTTCTGGTAGTAGGGCAATGTAATAGAATTTTGAAAGTCTGCTAAAGCAGTTCTTCAGATAAATTTATACCTAGCTTAATTAAGGCAGAGTTCCTCAGAGACTCCTTCTCACACTTATTTCCTGCCCTAGGTTGAAATGTCTCTTTTATAATGGCTGTTTTTTTCTCCATGTTTCCTACAGGTAGATGGCCTGCTGGATGTGCCATCACATAATCAGCCACTAGGTAGGTTTCATGGTGTACTTTGGAGAAAAACTTTGGGAAAAGTTCAGCTACTTCCATTATTCCAAATGAAAAGAAGCTCATGGAACTGGAGAGCTAGACAGGATGCTAATCCATGATCAGGATAAGAGACAGGATATTCTTAGACATTTCATAATTAACGGAAATTGCAAGAATCCTGCATTCACCAAGAGAAGTTCACCAAAATATTCAATTTTTTAAAACATATTTTTTTAAAAAAAAATATTTCAAACTGGAGAGGAATAGTTGGGTGGAAAAGCCAGAAGGGAAAAAAATTATGGTACAGCAGTTTACTCTGGCAGTTTAGTCAAAAAGAAAAGTTTTTCCATTAAAAGTTTTGTACCTGGACTTAGGAAATGTTGACCCCACTGGCTTCTGCAGAAGGGTTCAATAAAATCAAGATTACAATCATGTAAGCAAAGCCCCATCCCTTTGCCCATGTCTGTGTTGATGCACATATAAAAAAGTGGGGCTTCACACGGTTGTGATCAAAACATCTCTATAATGGTCAGAACCATCTGTTTTTAGCTTGAAATGTTTAGAATGCAAGACGTGTTGCCTATCTCTGCCCACTATTATAATCATATTTCCATTATGAAAGGTATTACAAATCATATTCAAAAGGTAACAGAAATAATAATAAAAATATACATTTTCTTTGGCTTAACAAGAGCATAGAGAGCCAAGTGGGTGCAGTGGTTAGAAAGCAGGAGACCGTATATTCTTGTCCCATCTTAGGCACAAAGCCAGCTAGTTGATCTTGGGCCAGTCACTTTCTCTCAGCCTTGGATGGAGGCAATGGCAAACTACTTTTGAAAAACTTTCCCAAGAAACTGCAGAAACTGGTTCAGGTGGTCTCCGAAAACTGGACACAATTGAACAGAAGAAGAAAAAACATGTTTTTCTACAAATTGTGATTATCATGAAACACTAAAACTGTTTCCTTAAACCATGGTATCAGGTTTTTTTCATATAAACCATGGTTATGTGAGTAAAGGAGAAATAATAAACTTGATGTTTGCTCTTCCTTGTTCTTTGGCACTAACATTATACAGCCATTCCGATTAAGATGCTGTTTCGAAGGATAAGACTTCAGTTACCCAAATTCTCTAACCAGCGTAGCTGTTGATGAGAATTATGAAAGCTGAAAGTTTACAAAACTAGAAAGCACCCACAATAGGAAGCATGGTTGAGCATGATGTATATTTGTGGTCAATATAAAGAACACCACAGATAGATCCTCAAGAGGGAAAATCATTCCATTATCTCTTTAAAAAGTTTCATTCACTATAACACTAATAAAACTGAGTGACCTTTTAGGTATTTTGATACTTTGAATAAATATGAGATCAGCGAACGCCTGCTTTTCAAAAGTGTGATGTTTTTCAACTAGTTTAGATAATGTTATTAGAAGGTCCTCCAAACAAGTAAAATGCAGATTTATAAACTCTTCCTGTTCACCTTTCCCAATGCATTTCAACCTACATTTTCCCACATCATCTTCACCATCTACAGATCCCCAAATGTATTTAGCATTGAACTGGAAAGCACTCGAAAGCACCTTTAGCCAATCATGACTTTGTCTAAGCTAATTGATGTTGCAGAGGATGAAGAAGACCAGCACATAATCTTTCTAGTCTGCCAGTTGTTCAGCTGAATGCTTCTCCCCGCCAAATTCCCACCCTTCCATAAAACCAAAAGAAGAAACAAGTCTTCAGTTTGTGGTGGTGCTGCCTAGCAAGCCCAATAAAGTGTTTTATTGCAGCAGATCCTGAGAATATACCGTAGTAAATGCCATCAGTCCCCTCTTGGAAACATTTCTCCACACTGAGGTATTAGGATGGGGCAGGTTGTCCAAGGAGAAAGCAAATACAGCGTTCACAAACACTGGATTTCTTTCTGGGAGTGCAAGATTCAGCCATGGAAGAGAGAGAAAAATTGTTTTCAAATGGTGGCCAAGAAGTTAAGTTCTTAGGACTTTGCACCTTTTATTGCTGGTTTTGTGTGGGAGTTGATTGGGGTGAATTGGCTCATTATTCTGAGGTTAAACCTCTTCAGTAAATGTGTCCCTTTCAGCTCCTCCATTTATTCCTGACATTGTCTACCTTTTTGCCTTTTATATTACTTTTGCTTGATTTTTTTTCCTGCCTCAATGAGGAAGGAAGGAAGAAGAGCATTCTTTATTTAAGAAAAAATAATGGTGTAAAAGAAGCTCAATGATCAACTTTCCCACAAAATTATCCAAGAAAGATCAGCCAAGAACATCTCAAACAAACACCAGAATAGGTCTCAAAAACTGTTTTTCCGTACCAATAGCAGAAAAGAATTTATTCCTTAAATATTGGCCAGGCTCAGTCAAGCCCCATCCACCATAAACTGCTAAACAAAGCTCCCAGCGCTAGAGCAGGGCTTTTCAACCTTTTCACCCATTGTGCCACTTTTAGGATATGGCAATATCCGAGTACCACCAGTCGCCTAGCAAGGTGTCAAAAACTTGATGACCCCCCCCCCAAAAAAGGAAAAAAGTGATAAAGTACAGGTAGTCCTCGACTTACAACAGTTCGCTTAGTGACTGTTCGAAGTTACAATGGCATTGAAAAAAGTGCCCCCCAAGGCACAGCCGAGCAAGACACCTGCCTGCCCACCCGGCGGCGCTCTTCCTCCTGTCCGAGGTTTTCATTGTTGTGAGCATTTCTTTTGAGGATTGGCAGTGGGGGTGGGGTGGGGGGTGTTTGGTTTTTATTCCCCCTGTCTGCTGGGTTGTTGCAGCAGGTTTTGGTCACTTCACATGACCCTGGGACACTGTGACCGTCATAAATATGAATCAGTTGCCAAGCATCTGAATGTAAATCCCAAGACCCTGAGATGCTGCAACATTGCAGCTGATCAGAGCTTCTTCTGGGCTCAGCGGAAGCGCCAGGATCAGCGCCGAGCTCCAGCTGGAGCCTGGTGCTGATCCTGGTGCTTCCGCTGAGCCCTGACAGCCCTGCAGCTCCAGCCGTCTCTCGCTCAGGCTTGTGCGGTGCTGCCACCGGTTCAGCTGATTCCCCTCCCCCGCTACCACTTTTCTAGGATGGCCGCGTACCACCTGCCAGGTGCCAATGTACCACAGGTGGTACCCGTACCACTGGTTGAAAAGCCCTGCGCTAGAGGATATATCAATTGTGATCCTACACAAAATGAGGAACAGAAACTCTGAAATAAAAAAAGGAGGGAAATCTCTGGGCAAGTTTTTGCATTTGTCAAAAGGCTTTTCTAGAACCTCAAACCACAAAGCTAATCTTATTGATTTGCCAGCCCTTCAGTGATTCCAAATTAAAGAGCACCATGACTCATTACTCTCGTATTTTTCAGTCTTCTTTTTGTTTATATATTGATGCTAAGGCATAATGTGCTTTGGGCTCCAATGTAATACTTGAAGTTAATCTCTTGTGGATTGTAAGTATAATTTATAAGTGAAGTTGTGTTCAAGAATTACGGCTTCGTGTGAAGTGTGAGAAGCAGGCATGGTTCCTATTACACAGAAGTTAGGTCTGCAGGACTGGGAATTCCTAAAGCTGTTAATTTTAGCCCAAATATTTGAGAACAATCCCAAGCAAATAATGGAGGGGTTTATTTGGAAGTTAGGATTTTCAAAACATTGTTTTTGTCTGGAAGTGCTTCTGTTTTCTGAATATACATCAGGCTCGACTTCTGCAGGTTAAAATAGTCCTAGAAAATGAATTAAAGGGGGGGGGGGAACCCACTTATTTTAATAGATAATTCACCATCATCTGATTGCTTGAAATCTGGGAAATGTAGGCAATCATTAAAAAAAATAATTAACCATGACATACCGTGAAGCATTTTTTTAAAATTATGTAACTCACTTATTGTTTATTTATTTTTACTCAAGCTTTCTCACAAATGTTTTTGAAATGGTTTTCAAAAAATGGAAGCCAATTAAAAGTTATTATTAAACAGATACTGTAGCATCAATCCAACTCAGCAGCAAACCAGCCTATATATTGAATGAATGAAAAGTTTTTGGCATGTCAGCAGAAAGAGAATACAAGAGAACATGAACTGAAAGTTGCCAGCCTGAAGGCCAATTCTCCATTCATACAAGACCTTCTCTAGGAATGGCAGAATTAAGAGAGGGCTCTTCCCTTAAACTCTCTCATCTTCCAAGTCACAAAGGGTTTTATTTAGCACAATCACCACTTTGAATTGTGTCTGGAAAAAGCACAAGTCACTGAAGCTGTTTTAATTAAAAAGTCTTATGCTTTACATTAAGACCCTGCAATGCTTTGGATCTGAAGGGGAAAAGTTCTCCAGAACATTTGCAAGGGCACCCATACCAGTCAAGGGCAACTCTTGGATTCTTTTCATGGATACTGTAGCAGCTATGGATGGCAAATCCACGATTCTCTGAAAAAACATAACTGATTTTAGGAGTAGCTATGTGAGTGCCCAATACTCCCTGAAGCATGTTTTCTCCTTCAAATCCCAGAAGTGGTGCAGCCCTATTCGTAATGATTAATCCCACTCAGCAGTCTTCCTGCAACATTCTGAAGACAGGTGATATATATGATAAGCAGAATGAGGGAGAAGTTGAAACTCTAAGAACACCACAAGACAACAATTTCCCAGCATCACTGAAATCATTACCCCTCCAAAAGGATATAAAAGAATCTCATGCAAAATAGTTACCATACATGAGAACACAAGAGAACAAGGATTCCCAGGACTTAAAACATGCCAAGCACTGCCAAGAGTGGAATATTGGAAACTAGATAGAAATTATGAAAAAACAGAAGGGATTTCTTTGAAAGGAGAGTTCTTTCCTTGTACTGAAATCTTGGTACTATATCTTTGAATATGAAGGAAATCACATGATGTTACACAGAATAATTTACTAATATCTGTTACTACTCAGCCAGTCTTGTAGCCAAGCCAGGAAGAGCAAGAATGAAGCTTCTACCACCTCAGTATAAACTTTAGAGTCCAGTTTAGCCTGAATTCAAGCAATTTGATCTACGAAGTGTTATACAAATTGATTAAAATAGACTGCTGAGTAGTTTATGTCTTCCTCCTGGTGTCTAAAATTCAATAGGCTTTTAAACATTGTTGGACAACTCAGTGCAGACAACAGAGTGCCTAGAAAAAATGATGTGTTCACTACAATCAGAGCAACAGATTTGACCTTAAAATAGGTTCTAGACCAGGGGTCTTCAAACTTGGCCCTTTTATGACTTGTGGACTTCAACTCCCAGAATTCCTCAGCCAGCATGCCTGGCTGATGAATTCTGGGAGTTGAAGTCCACAAGTCATAAAAGGGCCAAGTTTGAAGACCCCTGCTCTAGACCATGTTCAATCTGATTCTAATGTTGCTCCTATCATTATCCCACTGCTTTCACTGTTGGTTCTACTGACAGAAGAGGGCAAGTAGAAGAGCTCCTGTCAAACAATATTATTATCTAATTCCAGAGCCCAACCACTACACCTCTGTTTGCCTGACCTTTGGGTTTTGTTTGGTGCTACAAGTCTTCAAAGGTGAGAAGCTCTACCTCTATCCATGCAACCTCTTTCAATCAGCTTTATAAAGTAAAAGCCATATCAATAATTTTGGAATCTAAATATCTATTTACTAATTCATTAGTGTTCTACAACAGTGTCCCCTCAGGGTCTACCATAATACCTCACAGTACCATAGATAGGAAATTAAGGCTAGAATGAAGCTTTATTGCAAGCTTTAATCTTGCAAGACTGAATTTTTTTTCTCCCCTCATTCTGATATCCCAGTGAGTCAAGGAGGGGCCAGCCTCACTCTTTTTCTAATACTGTTTCCTTTCCAAGAACTCAAGCAATGCTTCTACCCTTTTTGTTTTTGCAATGACTTCTATTTCCCTCAAGGCCATCTCCATGGCTCTCTGCATTGAGGCCACTTGGGTTACCCGAACTGGGATACCATCTGGGAGCATTCAACAATCTGTTGTGCTCTTGTTTTGTACCCTAACGGGTCTCTTCTGATAGTATTCCCTAGCAGACAAAGTAATCTGGATCTTACAGATATGCAGTAGCCTAGTGACCTTTTTGCTTTCTTACTCATTTTGACAAATAGGATGCCCTTCACTTTTTGTCAACTTTCCCCATAACTTCTCCAAACATAAGACCCTTTTTGGTGTTTCCACCACTCAGTGGTCCCATAAATCAAGAAATGTCTAGCAATCTATTTTTAGACTGTTTGATTTATACTTGGTTTTATGTGGAATGAAAAGTCTATAAGGAAACCTGCAAGTAAGTGTAATAAAATGGGAAATGACCTTACAGAATAAACTCTGGCTTTTCAGCAAGCTTCAGGGCCTCATGCATGCCTGCGGCCGAGAGTTTACGGTTGATGTTCCTATATCTACATTGCAGCAGATTGCGGTAGGTGGTTCTCAGGTCCCGATTGAAGAAGGCATATATAAATGGGTTAATCAAAGAATTGGCATAGCCGAACCAGAGAAATGTCCTTTCAACCCACAAAGGGATGCAACTGCAAGAGGTCCCACAGATGAAGGGTCTAGCGGTAGAAAGTATGAAAAATGGCAGCCAGCATACAGTAAAGGCCCCTACAATTATTCCCAGGGTAGTGGCTGCTTTTTGCTCCCTTTTGAAGATAGAAATGTTCTTCCGTTCATGCTTAAGCAGACGTGAAAAATTGGCACACTCTTCAGATTCCTTGTGCAGTTTCACTACGCCGTTTGCTGAAACCATCCCTTCACGTTCGTTGGGTCTTGGGAAACCAGCAAATTTGTGTTTGGCTGCACTTTTCTTGGCAGCTTTGTAGATCTGATAGTACATGAACAGCATCACTGACATGGGGATGTAAAACGCAACAGCAGTAGAATAAATTGTGTAGCCAAAATCTTGGCTGATTAAACAGACTTTGTTGTCATTAATATTCTGAGCCCATCCAAACAGCGGGGGCAAAGTAATGGAAGCAGACAGCAGCCACACGCAAAGAATCATTTTAGCCATACACTTTCCATTTTGTCTTACAGGATAGGTGAGGGGTCTAGTTATGCCAAGATACCTAGAAAGATAAAAACAAACACCAAGAGTTAGTCTATGTTCCTTGTCAGTTTGTTGACTAGAACCATTTATGCCCCACATGGTGAACTGGACAAATCATGATTTGATCATCTGGTAAATCTCTTTCCCATGCACACGCACACGCACACACAAACATCTGTGTTCCAAATTAGCCCACTTCTTTAAACACACAATTTCTAAATTATCAGACTATGGAGGATAAACTGCCTAATAGGAATTCTATTCTTCAGCCTGATGTTCCCCAAATACAAATGTAGAAGGAACTGAGTGCTCCGCAGAGAGTACTAAATTATGCCATGGCCAACATGGATTCCAAGCTCTAACAATATTTCCGGAGTGAGCAATTTGGCACCCACCAGACGCCCTGCTTTGCATGATTGTTTTTTAAATGGTCAAAGCTGATATAATGTTTGTTTACAAGCATGCTCACACTGGCCACATACACATATCCAGAAACTAAAACTGGGGAGTAGCTGCAGCTCTGTGCCTTGTTAGAAAATAGCAATAGCACTTAGACTTATATACTGCTTCACAGTGCTTTACAGCCCTCTCTGAGCAGTTTACAGAGTCAGCCTATTGCCCCCAACAATCTGGGTCCTCATTTTACCAACCTCGGAAGGATAGAAGGCTGAGTCAACCTTGAGCCGGTGAGAATCAAACTGCTGGCAGTCAGCAGAATTAGCCTGCAATATTGCATTCTAACCAGTGCACCACCATGGCTCATAATATAGCAATGGCACTTAGACTTAGAGTATATACCATTTCATGGTACTGGGCCCAACTCTTTCCCCTCCTACCATGAAGGAAAAGGAAAAGAAAAAAGAAAAGAAAAAAAGAGAAAGAAAATAAAAGAAAAAAGAAAAGAAGAAAAGAAAAGAAAAGAAAAGAAAAGAAAAAGATAATATTGTAGTGAGCAAACAAAGGAGCTGTAGGAATAACAGCAATCTCTCCCCCTCCCAGTTTGCTTTCTGGTAAATGGAGGTTTGTGCTTTTTTGTGTCCACCATGGAAGGCATTTTATGAGGATGACCAGAACATGCTCTTAAAAACCCCACTTTTCTCCCCAATCTGTGTTATCTTCTTTCAACTTATGAATGACTTTTGGCTTACTTCCATAGCCAATATAGCAATGGGCAGTATTTCAGTAGTAGAAAACTGGTTCTGCAAGTAACATGTCCAAGCCTCTTTTTCTTCTTCCTTAGTAAGTTGGAAAATTCCTACCGAGATCCTGGATACTCCCAGTCATTGTCAAAGTTGTGGTGAGTGGAACCAAGATTCACAGTTATAAGAAAGCATTCTGTCCTATTGCTGGGGAATCCTGGCATTGTTTCCATACCATTTCCTTAAAATAGCTATAAACTGCTTACACCAAACTCCTTGTAGAGAGATAAAACAGACATTGTATAATAGTTATTTCACAATCACAACACTATACATTTATGTGCCATCTTTTGAGAAATATGATGTTATTAATTCTTCGCAATCATCATAACACTAATAATTAATGTTCCATAATGAAACATTTCTATAGTGCTTTCAGTACATAGCATGCTTAACAGATCATAACTATGGAACCTACGCAAGGCTGATCAAAGGATACATTTAAGTCCTGCACATCAACCCATTGTGAGATGATTCCCAACCTGGACTGAATTTATAGCATATATTGTGAGCTCAGGCAAACAATGATGCCCAGCAGGAAGAGTAGAAAGTAGAAACAGAGGCTACCATCACCCTATCCAGAGTCAAGAGTGAGTGAGTGCATGGATGTCAACTCCCCAAAGTAAAACAGACTAGGAAACCAAAGTCATGAAATAATACTATGTGTCAGGTTCCCAAATCCTTATTGTCTCCCTTCCATATATATATTCTTTTGCTTTGCTTTGGGACCTGCCATTTAGCTGGGGGAGGGGGGATATTTGCTTTCGCTTGGGATAACTTTTACTTTCTGCTTTCCTTCTTCCACCTCTATCCACTTGAGAAAGGACACCGTTACAGAGAAACGAAAGCTGGAGACTTTGAGATGCGCGCCAACTGTACCAGTTAACCACTCATTGTGCCACCTGTGGATTGGCTGGATTTCAAATGTACATTAGGACTTTGGTGGGAGGAGGAATATTGCTGGTTTAATTATACTGTTCAAGCGGGATTTTCCCCAGATCTCACCTTGACTTCCCTATTGTCACTAACCCCTAATAAAAGTTTCCTTTTGAGACAATGCCAGTTTCAAGAGTTCTGCATTCTTGGGTGGTTAGCTGAGGTTTATTATCTTATAGCAGGATATTCCCTTTATCTTTGTGAGAACTGGAGAGGGTTTTGTCCGAGATATTTTCTCATATTATATTTTTGCCCCAGACACAGGTTTCTTTTATGTGATTGTGGTCTTCCTCCTGTCCCTCAAGGTCATTCCTTCTGCTCATTACAACAGATTATCATCAGATTCAATGCCCTATGACTTCATCATCACTCATGGATTCTGGTCACCCTTTCTTGCTACCTAAGAATTTCTTTTAACTGTTTTCCATTTTGCCATCTATCTCAATATAGTAGCACTTAGACTTATTATTATTATTATTAATAATAATAATAATAATAATAATAATAATAAAAAGTTGGAAGGGATCTTGGAGGTCATCTAGTCCAACCCCCTGCTCAGGCAGGAAACCCTATACCATTTCAGACAAATGGTTGTCCAGTCTCTTCTTAAAAACTTCCAGTGTTGGAGCATTCACCACTTCTGAAGGCAGGTTGTTCCACTGGTTAATTGTTCTAACTGTCAGGAAGTTTCTCCTTAGTTCTAGGTTGTTTCTCTCCTTGATTAGTTTTCATCCATTGCTTCTTGTCCTGCCTTCAGGCGCCTTGGAATATAGCTTGACTCCCTCTTGTTTGTGGCAGTCCCTGAGATATTGGAACACTGCTATCATGTCCCCACTTGTCCTTCTCTTCATTAAACTACAAATACCCAATTCCAACAACCGTTCCTTATATGCTTTAGCCTCCAGTCCCCTAATCATCTTTGTTGCTCTTCTCTGTACTCTTTCTAGAGTCTCAACATCTTTTTTACATCGTGGTGACCAAAACTGGATGCAGTATTCCAAGTGTGGCCTTACCAAGGCATTGTAAAGTTGTATTAACACTTCACGTGATCTTGATTCTATCCCTCTGTTAATGCAGCCTAGCACTGTGTTGGCGTTTTTGGCAGCTGCAGCACATTGCTGGCTCATATTTAAGTGATCGTCCACTAGGACTCCAAGGTCCCTCTCACAGTTACTACTATTAAGCAAGGTACCCCCTATACCAGGGCTTTTCAACCTTTTCACCCATTGTACCACTTTTAGGATATGGCAACATCCGAGGACCACCAGTCGCCTAACAAGGTGTCAAAAACTTGATGACCAAAAAAAAAAAAAAAAAAGGAAAAAAGTGATAAAGTACAGGGAGTCCTCAACTTACAACAGTTCGCTTAGTGATTGTAGTTACAATGGCATTTAAAAAAGTGCCCCCCAAGCCACAGCCGAGCAAGACACCTGCCTACCCACCCGGCAGCGCTCTTCCTCCTGTCTGAGGTTTTCATTGTTGTGAGCATTTCTGCTGAGGATTGGCAGTGGGGGTGGGGTGAGGGGGTGTTTGGTTTTTATTCCCCCCGTCTGCTGGGTGGTTGCAGCAGGTTTTGGTCACTTCACATGACCCTGGGACACTGTGACCGTCATAAATGTGAATCAGTTGCCAAGCATCTGAATGTAAATCACAAGACCCTGGAGATGCTGCAACATTCCAGTTGATCGGCGCTTCTTCTGGACTCAGCAGAAGCGCCAGGATCAGTGCCGAACTCCAGCTGGAGCCTGGCACTGATCCTGGCGCTTCCACTGAGCCCTGACAGCCCTGCAGCTCCAGCCATCTCTCGCTCAGGCTTGTGCGGTGCTGCCACCGGTTCAGCTCATTCCCCTCCCCCGCTACCAGTTTTCTAGGATGGTTGCGTACCACCTGCCAGGTGCCAATGTACCACAGGTGGTACCCGTATCACTGGTTGAAAAGCCCTGCCCTATACTATACCTGTACATTTGGTGTTTCTTGCCTAAATGTAGAACCTTACTTTTTTCACCACTGAATTTCATTTTGTTAAATAGCACCCAGTGTTCAAGTCTGTCCAGATCCTCCTGTATCCTAAGCCTGTCTTCTGGAGTGTTGGCTATTCCTTATATACTACAGATTTATATACCACTTCATAGTGCTTACAACTGCTCTCTGGGCGGTTTATAGAGTCAGCATATTGCTCCCAACAATCTGGGTCCTCATTTTACCAACCTCAGAAGGATGGAAGATTGAGTCAACCTTGAGCCAGTCAGGTTCGAACTGCTGGCAGTGGGCGGAGCAAGTCTGCAATACTGCATTCTAATCACTGCACCACCAAGGTTCATCTAATTCTGGTGCAAAGAGGATCCCAATTCAGCAGAGTTGTGAACCAATGATTTCAGTAATTAATGCCTCATCCTAAAATTAATGCCTTATTCTTTTGAATGAGAATAGGAAATCTAGATTCAACCCACACCCAACTTTCTGTCCTGGAGTTTAGAAATTAAATTTAGTTTTACTGATCTTGGTCAGTCATAGGTTTAACTTGTTTCTGAATTATTTCATCCTTCTCTAATATAAATATAAGTTCAGATTAGAGCATTTTCCCCAAGAGCAAAGCAGAGGAGGAGAGCTCATTTATTCTTAATAATCCAAATGATTATCTCATCAGCATAGTATTAATGCTCTTTAGATTATAAAGGGTCAGCATATTGAATGTCATGTATCATGGTACTCAGCTACATTGAAATACAAACTTAAAGCAGGAAACATTACCTAACAATTGAAAAAAAAAGCAATGTACAAGAACTGTGAGAAACCTGCTAATATGGGTACATTATTTATTTCTGATTGGAGCTCTGGAGAATGCAGTCAACAGCCCCTTAATTCTGACTCAGTAGTCAGAATT